TTAAATCTGATTGTTAAATCTGATTGTTAGAAATGTTATTTGTCTTTAGGATCAAGAAGCTAGTCTTCTTTCTCAAGGAGAGAAGCAACCTAGAACTAAGGAGAAATTTCCTGACAGAACAATTAATCAGTAGAACAGCTTGCCTTCAAAAATTGTGGGTGCTCCATCACTAGAAGTTTTTAAGACGAGATTGGACAAAAATTTGTCTGAAATGGTATAGGGTTTCCTGCCTAAGCAGGAGGTTGGTTTAGAAACTTCCAATGTCCCTTCCAACTCTGTTATTCTGTTGCTTTATTATTCTATTAAACCTAACTTGATCAAGCACTATAAAGGTTGCCAGATTTCTGCATAATTAAATAAATAACTTACTTCATCTTGATCCAACATCTGTTGTTTTAATTTCTCAGCCAATTGACTCTGCTGGTTAATTTCATCATCCTGCAGTGGACAAAAAGGGGTTACTTTTTATTTTTCTACCATTTTTATGCCTTGAAATCAGCTAGCTTCCACATAGGCATGGCAATAAATCTTAACTTTCCAGATACTTCACTCCATATTCAGGAATTTGCTTCTAGCAGAAGCTCACAGACCAAACTCAGCTAATTTAATTGCTTTATTGCAGTAAACAGAAAAGCCATAAATATGCAGAACACAGAAGCCAAGCAAATTCTTTTTCATCTCCTCTCCCTCTCTCTCTCCCTCCCTCCCTTTCCTCCAGGGGACTAAATACTAGGTCTTTTTTCAAGTCAATGGAAATTTGGCCATTCCTTTTATAACATTAAGACCGAGGCAAAGTATTATCTTCAGTATTTACATAATAGTTATGTCCATCCTGAGAATTTCTGATTCCTTTCTCACTAGCTCATATATCAATATAAACGTGGATGCAATATTCCCCAATGTAAAATACTATGGAAACCGAATGTACCATTGTTGCATTACGGGGGGGGACCCCATCAAACATAATTTGCAGACTATAGAACTTTGTTCCAACCTTTATTACTAAAGCATATCATTCTAACAAATGCAAGCAAGTAGAACCATAAATCAATCTTGTCTAGTCCCCAGTGCAAGACTGATTCTACAGAACACAGAAATATTTTTCAGTTCGACATAATAATGGAATCATCTGGTTTTTATTCTATCATCTGCATCATTCTACGAGTTAATAGTATTTTAAATCAGCAGCTGGTTCTGAAGACACCTCAATTCTATCTTTTTATCTTACAAAATCATACATTTCACCTATAAATACACTAGGTTTGACTATTAAGAATTCCTTATTTTGTTTTTGAAACTTCATATAAGGGAACCTTTGGTGGTGTAAAACTGTACCATTCTTCAATATGAAGGTGTAAATGTGTCATGTTTCTTTGCTGCAAGATCAAAATGCTCCTGCCTTAAAGAATTATAGTCACAGCCTACAAAGACCACTGCAAAACTACAGAATGTTCCAGAATGCATCAGCCTGAATAACAACTTGGTTTGGCCATATAATACTGCTACTTTGAGTCACTGGTTGGTTTATGGGCGTTGAATGAACAGCTGAGGACCTGGATATTTATGAGACTAGTTATTTCCAATAGTGTCTGTCCATCCAATCAGGAAGAGAATATCCTTCACTTTATAACCTGCCTTGTATAACAGTGGTCCCAAAATATTTTGGCACCAGGAAGCAGTTTCGTGGAAGACAATTTTCCATGGACCCAGGTAGGAGGATCATGCAACCTAGAAACCTGTATATGCAGTTTCTCTCATCTGCTGCTCACCTCCAGCTGTGAGGCCTGGTTTTTAACAGGCCATGGACCGGTAATGGTCAATGGCATGGGTATTGAAGACCCATGAAGTATAAGGTTCTTGGAGGCAGACCTCCTCTCTAGCTGCACCTAGACTTTGACTTCCTTTGATCTTATTGGGATACAGGAAGGAAATAAAAACCTGACTATTTTTGGCAGGTTTTTGATGGGAGATGAATTGAGAGAGTTTACTCTTGTATGAGAATAGATTATTACATAAGTTATAATGCCTCTGCATAATAATATCTATTAAGCATAGTAGCACCTTGTATTTACGTTCTTGTTTTAATCTTAACTATGGTAGGATTGTAATATGCTCAATGTTGGTTGGTTATTAGAGCAGCATTGATTGATTATATGCTATCAAGTCATTTTCAACTCCTACTCTTCACTTAGCTAGATTTTCCCCATGTAGAACAGTATACAAAGCCTCATAAAATAAATATTGGCAACTTGTGAAAGCAAAATGCCCAGATGTTCCTACAATACTTGTACCTAAATCTGAAAGCAGATTTTATACGCATAGACAATTTAATAAATAATAACCCCCCCTGGGAAATCCTCTTAATGAAGCTACTGTGTATATTTCTAAATACATGTATGATTTCATTAACATATGTAGGCATGTATTGGACAAGAGTCTCTATATAGAGATTATTATTTTTGATCACAATACATTAGTTTTATTTATTTGTCTTCAAATAACTGTGACTGACTTTGTAAGATCGGAGGGTACCCAATTTGAAGTCCTCAAATATTTTGGTTGTGGTATCCAAACATCTTGCAAACTTTGTGATTTTTAATGTTGTAGAATATGAAAATTATTCTACATATAGATTAACCCATATTTAATTAAAGCCAACTGCATTTACATAGCCAATACCAGCCAGCAGTATCCTTTGCTGGATCCCCAAAATGTAAGTAGGTTTGGATGGATGAACATTAGGAGATTTGAGGATTGTAGTCTAAGTGA